TCATCTCTTGCTTGAGCTAGTAGAAAACATCTTACATCACAGAATTTCTATTTTAACATGATGTTGTAACCTAAAACTATATTTAACACGCTACTTAAAAAGGATTAATACAGTACTACAAAATAATCCCCCATAATACATATAGTATTCAATTTAATATTTGCGAAGAGCCAATCATAAAATACTCATTTTTCACATCTTTATAGCTAAATTGTTTAATTACATTGCCGTGCCTGTCAGACCAACACGTTGCCAGCGTTAGTAAATAAAATTTTAAGGGGTTTTAGGTCTATTTGCATGCTGTGCAAGTGTGGTTTCATATTTCTGCGTGGGTGTAATTTTGTATTTCTGTACAAGCGTCACTGAAACCGTGGGGATAAATAAGATTCCTAACAGTCTTTTTTAAAATGTCCAAGGATTTATTCTTGGCCAAGGTTTCTGTGTGTGGCTGACAAACTTCAGGCCTCCACGTGAGCCTCAAGACAAAACTTTTTCAATTGTTTATATATTTTAACAGTTCTAAATTTCACCATCCTCTTCATTAATTACTATTGCAGTAATGTTCACTATTCATTTCCTCACTTTTTTACTGATCTGGTCCAAATTATTTAGTAATTTTGTTATCTTTTTCTCAGACTTAGAGTCTCCAGCCTTTCAGGCTTTAATTTCCTCTAATTTTCTGGTTATTCTAATATCCTTGAAGTGCCATAAATTTAAGATCCCACAGTCTTCAAATGCTTTGGGTCTGTTCATTGAAGTTTGCCAGGGTTCATTTTAACAAACTTAATCGATGATTTAATGATCAAAGTAATAATAAAGGTCAGTGGAGAAGCTTTACTAGAGCTTTAAAAGTGGGTGCTGCTCATAAATAATTAAAATGGCCAATCAAAAATTAGGAAAATTATATTATTTCTAACATATGCACGACTTCAAATGTTTGTCCAGTGTAACTTTGTATTTTTGCTCTGAAATGCTGCAAATGGAAAGGATTGTGTGAGGATAACCAAACAAATTTGAAGGCCTTGGTTTCCTAATTTAAGGAAAACTGAGTTGGAAATACATAGCTCCATTGCAGCCAGGGTTATTACACTGATATAAAGCCTCAGATTTACCTGACATAAAGCCTAAAGATTTTCCAGAAATATCAAAAATATGGGTGCTGCTTCTAAAATTAATTCTATGTGGTAAATCACATGCTGAAATCCCAACTCATTCTTTATCCAGGGCATTTCTAAGGGGGATTAGGGACATGGAGGCAATCCATTGTTTACAGAAATAATAATTCCCTCATCAGTAATCCAAACTAAATTGGCGTTATAGCCAATTAACTCTGATTTTCCAGATGCGTTTCCAGTAGAGCCCTTTGCCATGCCAAAAGGTGAAAAGGTGAAAAGTTTCTGGGATTTTTTCCCTAAAAACCAAAGGAGAGGCTACAACACTGGATCTTGGTTTTGAGGCAGCAACAACAAAGGGTCCGGACTTTACAAAAAAGGGCAAACCTCGCTGAAATTAAATTATTTTTGAAGGTTTTCAAGGTGTTGTTGTGGGTGCCATGCCAAAAGGTGAAAAGGTGAAAAGTTTCTGGGATTTTTTCCCCTAAAAACCAAAGGAGAGGCTACAACACTGGATCTTGGTTTTGAGGCAGCAACAACAAAGGGTCTGGACTTTACAAAAAAGGGCAAACCTCGCTGAAATTAAATTATTCTTGAAGGTTTTCAAGGTGCTGTTGTGGGGACACAAATCCACCCTGGCCCCTCTCAGTGAACATGTGTGTCAGTGCGGAGATTTTAGGTGAGGAGAGGGTTTGCTTGGCGGGGGCTGATGGAACCTTTGCCTCGCTGGGTGTCACCGGGGTGCTCCTGACTCACGGGGTGACTCCACAGCCTCGGCGGGGCACGGGAGAGCCCTGCCCGCCCTGCCCGCCCTGCCCGCCCGCTCCGGGGCTCCTTCCAGGGGGGACTGGAGCTCTGCTTGGTGACACCCCGGCTGTGGAGCTGCCCTGGGAGCTCTCCGAGGAGCTGCTCGGTGCCACCAGACCTGCCCTGCTCCTGCTGGCTGGATCCCGTGGGGTTCTGCTGCCTGTGGTGAGGATTCTTCTCCCACCTCTGCCTTCCTGCTGCTCCCCTTCTGGAGCCGGGTGCCAGCGCCCTGGGTGTTTCCAGCCTCTTAAAAAAAACCCAGAATGGTTTGGGAGGGAAGGGAGCTCAAAGCCCGGCTTGTTCCAGCCCTCCCACTGTCCCTGTCCTGCCTTGCCTTGGACATTCCAGGATCCAGGGGCAGCCCCAGCTGCTCTGGCAATCCCAGCTCAGCCAGGAATTCCTCATTCCCAAAATCCCACCCCAATTTCCCTTTCCCAGGGAATTCCCTCCCTTCTCGGCTCTCCCAGCCTGGCATTGGATCCATCCCCACCCCGACTCTGCTCCAGGAAGGAGTTTTGGGATCTGGGGGCTTCACTGGAAATCTTGGGACTCCAGGAAGGGTCTCCCTTCCCTTTTCCATCCCCAACTTCCATAAAAATCCCTCGGGATGGATTCTGGGCCTCCTTGATCCCAGAATCCCGGAATGGTTTGGGTGGGAAGGGACCTCAAATCCCATCCCATTCCAATCCCACCATCCCAGGCTGCTCCAGCCTTTCCTTGGACATTCCAGGGATCCAGGGGCAGCCCCAGCTGCTCTGGCAATCCCAGCCCAGCCAGGAATTCCTCATTCCCAAGATTCCATCCCTGGCTGCCCTCTGGCAGTGGGAGCCATTCCCTGGGTCCTGTCCCTCCAGGCTTTTCCCAAATTTCAGCTCTCCTGGAGCCCCTCCAGGGCCTGGAATGTGCTGGAAGCTCTCCCTGGATCCTTCCCTTCTCCAGGGGAACATTCCCAGCTCCCCCAGGCTGGCTCCAGAGCAGAGGGGCTCCAGCCCTGGAGCAGCTCCATGGATTCCTCTGGATTCACTCCAATTCCATGGATGCCCGTGGCTCAGAGCTGATCTCCAGACCCTTCAGGACCTCACGGCCATTGCTGGGGCCCTGCAGCCCCTCCAGGGGATGAGGAGAGAGCCCAAGGTTTGGATTGAGATGCAGCTCCTGAAATGCCGTGGGTGGAGGCCCCAGAGGATGCTGATCAGGGCACTCAGAGCTTGTTGGGATACTTTGGATCCTGACATCAGGTTTGGCAGGGTTTCTTGGCAGCCCTGAAATCCATGTGGGATGTAGCATGAGTAAAGAAACAAGCTCTAATTTTGCCCTAGATTAAATCCTTCCTTCCTGTTTTGAAAGAGTGAAGCGTGGCAAGTCGTGTGGACAGTCAGCTGATTCTATTATGAAATATTGGAGTCTGGAAGCTACAGGTGGGGTTTCACTTCCACCAGAGCTGCTGTAGTTCCAGAAGCAGGAAATTCCTGTGATGGTTCCTGACTCTTGGGATAATTTGTTATTATTTGTTTTAAATTGAGGGAGTGGAGATCTTTTCCCCCAGGGACTGGGTTTGGTTCAACCTTAGAGACCAGAGCAGTTCTCCTGGTGCCCCCAAGACACAGCAGTTACAAGATGACTCAATCCTACAGGTCAAAACAGGATTAATTCCTGCCTGGGGCTCCCTTTGTTCCCAAAAACATGAGAAAAAGGATTGTGAACACAACAGGACACCTGGAGGAGTGGGGTGGGAGTGGAGGTGAGAGGAGACTCCTCAGGGAGGTGCTGAAATGCTGAATGATACAGTTGAGATCTTTATTAAGAGTTTCCTCTGGGAATTGTCACATCTCCCCTGTCTCCGCTCCCCAGGAACTCCAGGTGTGAGAGCAGGCTCAGCTCCTGGCTGTCCCTCAGCCACCTTTACTATTTGGATAAACAAAAAGTTTATCCAGCAGCCCTGTGGCCCTATCTGCAGCTGTGGGACAGCCACAGCTGGGTGTTCCCATGGGAGATCGTCCCTAAAGCTCAGGCAGGGGTGGATAACAACTCCTCAAATATCCTTTGGAGCAAGGAGTGGACAACACCAAATCCCCACAACCAAGAGTGGCTGGCAGAGCTCCTGACCCCCAGTGAGAGCTGGGGTGAGTTCAGTTTGTCCCCGTTTTCCTCGGCCCTGACAAACACGAAGGAACACACGCATTTTTGTGGTCAGAGCTTTGGGACCGACTCCTCCCCCACCGCTCTGGATGTGTAGTGGAAAATATTTTTTTGGGGGTGAAATCAGCCTGCTGGTTGCCTTGAAGGCTCTGATAAATGTGAGAACTTGATCACATGGAGTGATAGGTTCTATCAGATGTGTCTGATCTGAAAAATAAAGCTCTGTATAAATTCCCCTCTGCCAGGCCCAGCTGAACTCGCAGCAAACATGAAGCTGATTTTGATCTTCAGTGCCCTCATCGGGGCTTCCCTGTGCCTGGAAACCTTCGTTGGGTGAGTTACACTTTTGTGGAAAACCTTTCATTTAGGGCTGGTATCTTCTTGTTTTTCACAGTCTCAACTTCACAAAATCTGCTTGGGGTACTTGTGTTTGTTTGTTTTTGTGGCTGACTGTTCTTGTTGCTTTGCTGCTCTGGTGTTTGAGGGAACATTTCTTTACTTTCATTTGGGATTTCTAAGAAGGGTCCAGCCATGGAGTTGAGATCCTCAATTCCTGTTCATCCAAGGCTTGATTTTGGCTTGAGGTGAACCTCACTGCAAAAGCAGAGCTCAAAGACCAGAACCTGTCCTCAGATCAGAAAGTTCACAACTTTCCCTTTCCCCCCCAAGTTTCTTATTTCTCTTTCTTCCTCTTATTTCCTCCTTTCTAATCATTTAAAATCCTGGTTTCCAGCTATTAAATTCTAAAGGTCTTTCTTTATGTTGCATTGCAAAAAATATCCCGCAGAGTATTTCCTCACAGCCTCACCGACCATGGAAGAGTCTAAATAATTAAAGATTATAAAATTATAATCTGGATAAATCCTGAAGTGCAGTAAGTGAGTACTAGATTCCAGTAAGTAAATCTGTGCATGAAGGTTTAAGGATTAAGAATAAAATATAATATAAACAATGTCCCAAAACTCGGGGATTTGGAAAGGCAGGAGGGGCTATTTTGATCATTTAACCCTGAACTGAGTTTTGGTGATTCCACTCCTCAGCAGCTGTGGTGAACTCAGAGCTGAATCCAATCCTGAGATAAAGTTTATGGAGGATCCAGTAATGAGTTATTAATGTGGAAAAGCGCCTGCAGAGCCGATTTAACTCAATTTAACAAAGAGATCTGATCCCTCTGCTGGCCGGGGAGAGGATCCAGGTGTAAATAGAACACCCAAATACCCGAGCTCGTGTGCCGAGACCCTTTTTCCCCCCTCATTTCCACCTCAGGGGTTTCCAGCTGTGCAGTTCCCGGGCTGTGCTCCAGCTGTTGGGTTTGTCACCCCAACCGCTGGAGTGAGGCACCTCCAGAGGGATTTATCCCACCTGGAATGGTGCTCTGCTGGTGTCACAAACAAACAAATCCCACCTTTGGTGTTCGCTCCGCTCGCCAAACGCTGGTCCTTCCCCAACTCAACCGGAATATTCTTTTCTCACAACTTGCTGCCCAAGAAGTAACCGGTGGACGCGGGGTTGATGCTCGGAGCGATTTAAAACTCATCCGCGTTGTCTGGTTGTGCAACTCTTGGGTGACACCAAATCAACCTATCAAAGGAGCCATGAACACACAATTAACACAGAATTAATGATCCCAGGAACAAACCAGTACAGCCAGCCCCCCACCTGAGGCTGCTGCCGAAAACACCGATTTATTGCAGGCACCAGGTTCTCCGAATCAAGACCAAAAATGAGGAGGAGGTCAGGCAGCTGCAGCTTCTGGAAGCGCTGGAACACCTGGAGGTGGGTCACGGCCACAGAGGAATTTTGGATTTGCATCTCATTCACAGCAGCTCAGGGTGTGAATCTGCATCTCATTTGGAAGGTTCCCATCACCCTGGGGCAGCTGTCATAAATAATTTTATTCTCTCAAGACTTTAAATTTGACCTGCAAGTTCGAGTAGGGGCCAGAACTGATTTTTTTTTTTTTTTCCCCCTACTGGGCTTACATCATATTTGAATTGTTAGATCTTAATCTCAGTGTTGGAAAACTTGTTTTTCCAGTGGGAATGGCAATGTTTTGTCTCCCAGAGTTATGGAAGAAATTTATCAGCTTGTTTACACTGTATTGAAGCAGGAAAACGCAATGTAAAATTTCAGGTTATTACTGTTCTTATTGGCATTGGTGAGAATTTTTAACATCACTTTTTAAAATCACTGGCTAAAGAAATATTATATGAATAATTTAGAAAGCAAAATTTAGAAAAATCCTACTAAAGGAGTGATAAAAGGAGAAAACAATGGGTTTCATATTACCTAAGACTGGAACATGGAGTTTTTCTTGAAATTTTTTTGAGTAAAAGGGAAAATAATAAAATAGTCATAAGAAACAATTAAAATTTCCTCTTGTTAGTGTGATCAAAGCCTAGAAGTCAGTGAAAAAACTGACTCGAGCCCTTGGTATTTGTTGCTTTTTTGAGTTTATCAGAACTGATACCAGGCTGTGGTGAGGCCACGGAGAACGAAGCATTCCAGGCCTCCTCTCTGTTGGACTGGGGAGAAATCAGCATTTCCAAAACTCTGCAGGAGCTGTTGGCAGGGTGCCTTCCCCAGCCCAAATCCATTCTCCTTCCTCTCTGCAGCTGGATTTCTGGATCAATCCCTCTGCCTCAGCCCTCCCCGTGGATGTGAGAGTTCCTGCTGCCAGCGTCCAGTCGGTGAAAGCCTTCCTGGAATCCCAGGGGATCGAATATTCCATCCTGATTGAAAACCTGCAGGTGGGCAGTGCCACTGGCACTTCTTTCTTGCATCTTTTGGAAACACTGATTCACAGTTTGGCCTGGCTCCCGCTTTTCCATACTCTGTTTTTCTGTGGGATCCTCCCGTTATTTTTGTGGGTTGTGGATAATTCCTGAAAGACAATCCACGCACAGATGGAGGTGTTCTCTGAGTAGTGACATCAACAAATTCCACAGGACTCTTCTGAGGAATTTTGGATTTTTGATCCCAGACATTTGTTTGACACTGAAGTTACTGATCATTCAGTAAATTCTGCTGAGAGTAGTTATGGATAGAAATCACCCACTTGGGCACTAATCTGACATGAGCAATAATCCCCAAAGGGCACCTAAACCAGCATTAACTCACTGCCTTTTCATTTCTTTATCTTTTAGCAAGTGAAGCAGACACTTCTCACCATTTGAATGTTATTTTAGGATGTTCTGGATAAAGAAAAGCACCTAAACCAGCATTAACTCACTGCCTTTTCATTTCTTTATCTTTTAGCAAGTGAAGCAGACACTTCTCACCATTTGAATGTTATTTTAGGATGTTCTGGATAAAGAAAAGCAAGACATGGCTGAGAGTGCCCAAAGGCAGCGCAGCAGCACCTTTGACTTTGGTGCTTACCACACTCTGGATGAAGTGAGTACCTCCAGGGAGGAGTATTCTGATTTTTTTCTGATCTTTAGGCATGCTCTCTTCATTTCAACATCCTTTATTAGGATCTAAAATGTTCTTGCAGCTTTTTCTGGCATGTGGATTTGTGTTTTGTGGTATTTTGTGCTCAGAACAATCAGTCAGAGCTGTCCCTGACAGTGTTGATCAAAATTCCATAAACTCTCCTGCAGACCCTGTCAAACCCCATCCTTGAAAAGAAAGAGAAATAAGGGGATCTTGAAATTGGGAAATAGAGAACTAAAAAGAAAGCAAGCTGTGGTTTCCTCATCCTTGGAGTGTCTAAGGCCAGGTTGGACCAACCTGGGGTAGTGGGAGTGGAATGGGATGGGCTTTCCAACCTGCATCAGTGCACGATTCTCTGGAAGGAATGACAGAGCACATAAATATGATATTAATGTCCTCAGATATGGTGTTAATTGTGGGAGTCCAGGACATCCCTCTGCCTGCCCTGGCTGTGTCCAGACCCTGGCAGGGGGCTCAGAGACCTCGACATGAAGTCAAAAACAGCTGTGGCTTCCATTTTAGCCCGTGGAAAACACTGCCAATTTTGTGTGAGGAATTACAAGCCACAAGGGTTTGAGTAGTGTAATAGGTGAATTGACACAGGGTGGAAAAAAAGAATTTTAGGGGTTTTTTTTAGAATGTAATTCAGGGCTACAAGATGGAAGAATCTGGGCGTGTCCCAGCTTTCTTTCCTTTATTCTTGTCCTCCGTGTCCTGCTGTGATGGTGACACTTTTCTACTGGTTTCAGTCAGAGACTAAAGCTGTCTAACGTAGATGAAAGTACTGGTGCATTGTTCTAAACAGGCTGTACGTAATTTTTGATATAAAAGGTAAACACTGCCCAGAGGGCACCCAGACTGCCACGGCTTCTGTGCTAGGCAGACCTCAGCAGGTCAGAGAGAAAATATTACAGATAAGGAGAAATAAACAACCTTGCACACTCATCTTCACGTGTTCCAGACCTCTCCTTCGGCTGCTGGGCGAGGGGAACGGGGACTTTCCCACTGCTGGGGTCTCAGCAGCTGACCCTGTCATTGTCCTCATGGCCTTGCATTTCAGATTAATGCAGAACTGGACAACCTTGCATCCGAGTACAGCTTCGTGCAGAAGATCCAGATCGGGCAATCCTACGAAAAGCGGCCTCTGTACGTCCTGAAGGTACGACAAATCCCATGGAATGCACCCGTAGGGATGAACGACAGCACAGCCCAGAGCACCCCAGTCTATTATGGGATGGGCTCCAGTGAGGGGTGTCAGTCTGAAATGCTGCTCTTTGATTTCCCAGTTCAGCACCGGCGGCTCCAACCGCCCGGCCATCTGGCTCGACGCCGGCATCCATTCCCGCGAGTGGGTCACCCACGCCAGCGCCCTGTGGATCGCCAACAAGGTTCCTGCAGCAGGGATTCCTCTTGGGCCTGTCTTGGGAATGTTTCCTGCTGTTTCAGAGGGTATCACCCCTCTGTGTGTTTAGTTCATTCACCTCCCAAAAGCAGCCGACTCCCTGAGGATGTGGTGGCTGCCTCGACCTGGAATTGGGAACCTCTGTCCTGTTAGAACCAAAGACTTTGAGATTGTATTGCTGCTCTGCTTTGCTCACCCAGAAAAATGCAGTAGGGTTAGTTTCCTTCCACAAAATGCCCAGACCTCCAGCTCTCTATAAATGAGGATTTAAATCCTGCTGGAAATGACTGAGCCACCAGCGAAGCCGCAGGATCACAGAATAAGTGGGTGGAAGGGGCCCACCAGGATCATGGAGTCCAACTCATGGCCCTGCACAGAACCATCCCCAGGAGCCACCCTGTGCCTCAGAGTGTTGTCCAAAACCTCCCTGGGCTCTGTCAGTGCAGCACGGTTGAGAATTCCCAACCTGGCTCTTCCATCTCAGCCTTAGTGCCAGCCTTGGCCTGTCCTCTGGGACAGGGAGGAGAAAATTTTGTTATCCTCTTCCATTTTATTCTAAAGACCTCCCGTCTTCAGAATAAAATAATAAAACAGATTCACTGCTCACTCCACATGTATAACAAGGAGATAATGGATGCTCCTTGTTTCCCTGCCCCAAAATCCAGCCTTTCCTCCGTCCCAAACAATGTGGGATTGAATATCTGGGAAGGAATTGCTCTGCTCAGCAGGGTGTTCTCTGTCTCTGCCTAGATTGCCTCTGACTATGGAACAGATCAGTCCATCACCTCCCTGCTGGACAAGATGGATCTTTTCCTGCTGCCAGTCACCAACCCTGACGGATATGTGTACACTCACACCTCGGTGGGTCTGAGCTCAGTGCAATTCCTGGCTCTTCCAAGGAAATAATAAACATGAGGGAAGTGGGCTCTCAAAGTCTTAGTGTTGCGACAGGAGTTACCAAAGAGTTGGGCAGACAAAGATCCTCATCATTTGTCTAACCCATCCTAACCCCCTGTAAATACCCCAGTTTTAGTAAGTACATTTTATTTTTGACCATTGGCCCACCTTGGCAGTCCAAAATACTCTTGGGATCATGCCTAGGATCAATCCTCCATGGATGGCAGCTCTTCCTGGGGAGCAGTTTTGGTGCCAGCACCCAGATTTGATCCTTTCTGAGCATTTCTCTGTTGTAGAACCGCATGTGGAGGAAAACCCGCTCCAAGATTCCCGGCAGCATCTGCGTCGGAGTTGATCCCAACAGGAACTGGGATGCAGGTTTTGGAGGTAGGGATAAAGCTTCTGGATTCTGGATGCTGTTACACAGAACCAGCAGCTGCCTTTATAAAGGGGATGAATCACCCTAGAGCACAGGATGAGGCAGCATCATGGAATCATGGAATCACAGAATGCTTTGGGTTGGAAGGACCCATAATATCATTTAGTTCCACTCCCTGCCATGGGCAAAGCCACCTTCCACTATCCCAGGTTGTTTCCAGTCCCATCCACCCCAGGAATGTGGATTCTTGGGCAACCTGTTCCAGGTTGCATCATCTCAAAGCACATCCCTTGAACATTCACACTGCTGTTTGGGCGTTTATCAGCGTTTAAGGCCTTGCTTTGGAAAGCCCAGCTTTGTGTGGGTCTGCCCCGGCCTCCCAGGAATTCCCAGGAATTCCACTCCTCATGGCTCTGTTCCCTCCTTGCACCACCAGGTCCTGGAGCCAGCAACAACCCCTGCTCCGACTCCTACCACGGGCCCAGGGCCAACTCCGAGGTGGAAGTGAAATCTGTTGTCGACTTCATCAAGAATCACGGAAACTTCAAGGCCTTCCTGACCCTCCACAGTTATTCCCAGCTCCTGATGTATCCCTATGGATACAAATGCACCAGGCCAAACGATTATGCCGAGCTGGTGAGACAGCAGGACTTGGTTTTACCTTCCTCTCTTCTGTCCAGCTGCCTTTTCTGTATTTTCCATACGCCTCCCTAATGACAGCACCACAGCTGGAATAATATCTCTGAGGCAATGTGGATCTCACAACCACAATTCCAATGGGAAAGCCCTCTGGAGGTCTCTGTTCTAACCCTGTGCTGGAAGGGCTTTGGAGTCAGAGCCAATTTCAGTCTGAGTTTGGATTAATTGTTTTGATATTTCTAAAGAAGAGTTCCACAGCTTTTTCAAGCTCGTCCCGCAGTTTCCCTAATCTCATGGGGATTTTGTTTTGTCCTAATACCTAAATGCAGTTCCCCTGTGGTAATCTGTTGCCTTTTTCCCTCCTTCACAAAGGACCCAGCTCTGTTTTCCATCCAATCCTCATTATGTAGTTGAAGTGAGCACAAAGGTGACCTTGGAGTATTGGAAGATCCCAACTGCCTTGGGAATTTCTGGTATCTCTTGAGCCTTCCCTGGACAAGGCAGTGACATAAACAGTGGATGAACACTTACAGAACCTGCTGGAAGTTCATTCACCCGCAGTGGCCCCTCCCAAAGATGCTGTGGAAGCTGTGGCTGCTGTTGGTGTGAATCATCTCCAAAGCAGTTTGGAGATTTCTGGTGAAATCCTAGTGTTTAACCTCAGGAAGTGTGGCTGCTTCTTTATTCTCCTTCATCTTCTCCCCTCCAGGAATCTCTGGGAAGAGCTGCCGCCAGTTCCATCCGCTCCCTCTACGGCACCACCTTTCAAGTGGGCACCATTTGCCAAACCATCTGTGAGTATTTGGCCACTCGGAGCTTTCAGGGGCTGTCCCAGGACACCAATCCCCGTCCTCCCCACAGGGTCTGTCCCTTGTGAAAGCCACAGCGCTCCTGTGCAGTGATACCGCCGCTCCCACATCGGACCTGAGCGTTCCCATCCAAACCTCATCCTTGTCCTCCAAAATACAAAGAGCAGGACAAGAGAGCTCCACCATTCCTCTGCTCCCCTCGCTGGACCATCTCCCTTTCCCTTCCAGACCAAGCCAGTGGAGGCAGCATTGACTGGAGCTATGACAATGGGATCAAATATTCCTTTGCCTTCGAGCTGCGGGACACGGGGCGCTACGGATTCCTGCTGCCCGCCAACCAGATCGTCCCCACCGCCAGGGAGACCTGGCTGGGCCTGAAGAAGATCATGGAGCACGTGCGGGACAAGTCCTCCTGAGAGCTGGGCTGGGAGTCAGCTCTGCAGCACCGGCTCAAAAAGCCTCTGTGTGCTGTGATGGCTGTCACGACAGAAAGGGCTGAATAAACCTCTGTGCAATCCCGCCACGGTGTTTGGTGCATGTCCTGTTCCTTGTGTGGGACACATCCCTGAGGAGATTTTGGGACACAGCCATCCCGGCCCACACATCCAGTGCCACCCCTGCCATGGCAGGGACACCTCCCACTGTCCCAGGCTGCTCCAGCCTTTCCTTGGACATTCCAGGGATCCAGGGGCAGCCCCAGCTGCTCTGGCAATCCCAGCCCAGCCAGGAATTCCTTCCCAAAATCCCACCCCAAGCTCCCTTTCCCAGGGAATTCCCTCCATTCCCAGCTCTCCCAGCTTGGGAGTGGATCCATCCCCACCCCGACTCTGCTCCAGGAAGGAATTTTGGGATCCGGGGGTTTCACTGGGAATCTCGGGACTCCAGGAAGGGTCTCCCTTCCCTTTTCCACCCCCAACTTCCATAAAAATCCCTCGGAATGGATTCTGGGCCTCCTTGATCCCAGAATCCTGGAATGGTTTGGGTGGGACGGGACCTCAAATCCCATCCCATTCCAATCCCACCATCCCAGGCTGCTCCAGCCTTTCCTTGGACATTCCAGGGATCCAGGGGCAGCCCCAGCTGCTCTGGCAATCCCAGCCCAGCCAGGAATTCCTCATTCCCAATCTCCCATCCCTGGCTGCCCTCTGGCAGTGGGAGCCATTCCCTGGGTCCTGTCCCTCCATCCTTGTCCCCAGCCCCTCTGCAGCTCTCCTGGAGCCCCTCCAGGCTCTGGAATGTGCTGGAAGCTCTCCCTGGATCCTTCCCTTCTCCAGCCTGGTGTTAACCAGCATAATTTAGGCTATGGGACTGATTAAAATAATTTCTCTTAACAAGCCTTAGGACCCTGCCAGGCCCCTGACCACTGACCTCAAATGTACGCCCCATATATTTGGCTGCCCCTTTTCTCCCTCTCACACACTCCCAGTGGACATGGTCGGAGGGAGGATGGAGATGGGAGGACACCTCCCCTGATCCAGCACTCAGTCCCTTGGGAGCCCCTCTTTCCATTTTCATCCTGCAAATTTCTTGGGGATTAAGAGCAAAGAGCTCAGGTGGCCCTGAAGGATCAGAGATTAGTTCTGGCTGCTGCTGCTGTGGTGATTATCGAGTCTAACAGGTTTATCTTGGTGTCTTGTGACCCCCCAGCAGCTGGTGAGTTACTCACCCTTGGGAGGCTGGCAGGAGAGCAAACAGTGCTGATGTGTCCAATCAAACCCTGCGGACTCAGGGCACGGAGCTGTTGGCAGGAAGAGGGGAAGGCACAGCTGAGGGAGGTACCCCAGGGGGCTGGTTTTGGGTTAAAAGCAGCCGTTTTGGAAAACAAACCCATGCTTGAGGCAGCCAGTGCTACCCACGTGTCTCTGTCCCCTGCGCCCATGGCCTCCTCCAGTGGCACCTGCTTCCCAAACTGACCCAGCTTTCCAAAATCCCATCCTCTCCCCGGTGATAAAAACCACCGATGGTAAATCCCAGGGACAGGGCACTCAGTTGGCTCTTGGACCTAGATGAGGTCTTGTCTCCAGAGCAGGAACTGCAGAGCTTGAGGAGCCTCACCTGGGAACGTGGAACTGTGACTTTGTCCTGGCGTGGGAGCTCATTCCAACCATCCAGGGCTTCAGGCCCCCTGTCTCCTCCTCTTTAAGTGCCTGGTGTGAGGAGAGCTCATCCCAGCCTGGAACCCTGATTCCAGAGAGATCTGGGGCCAGGCAGTGGATGCCACCCAGAGGAACAGGAGAGTGTGTGCCATGGTGGGGCGAGGAGGGCGATGAGCTGGAGATGACACAGGTCTGGGGTGGGGACCTAACAGGGACCTTCTCATCCCAAGGAAGGAGATTATTGAGGAAACAGCCACGTTCTCCACCACAGAGAGCGACGGGAGAGACAACAGCATCAGCTGGAATGAGGGAGAGCCAGGAGGGACATCAGGAAATGCTTTCCACCAGGAGGAGAAGCAGCAGGACCTGGTGCCAGTGGGGCTGTGCAGCCTCCATCTCTGGAGGGCTCCAAGTGCAACCAGGAGAGCCCTGGTGGGTCCCCAGAGCATTGGATACAGACCTCCCATGGTCCCTCTCCACCTCAACCACCCCATGCTCCTGCCCCGAGGAAGATCCCGGAACCACCTCAGCAACAGCACCAGTTCCGCACCGCAAAGCCCCAGGAGACCCCAGCACCTTCCCACGGCACCTCCTGCTCCTGGTGCAGCCAGAATCCCCTGGATTGAATGGAGAAAAACATGGTCAGGGGATGTCAGCTGTAAAAACCTGCCCTGGGAGGTGCCTGCCAGCCTGGGAACACAGCCCAGGAACCCGGAGCATCCCTGACAAGCGCGGTGGGAGCTCAGGGGCAGCGCAGATAAGGCCCAACAAAGGCCCTGCTGTAACCTGCAGAACAAAGGCGCTGCTTTAACCGGGGAACAAAGACACCTCTGACAAACTGACCTCCTGGGATAGCCCCAGTCAGTGACAGCTGCTCCAGAGCCACTGCTGAAACAGGGAAAATAACTGAAAGCACAAAAATAATTCGTTTTCTACCCAAAAATGAGCCTTTCTGTCTGAGCATTACCCCAGGTGAACGTCCTTGTGCACCTCCGAGCTCCACGACTTCCATCAGCTTTGAAGTGAGATTTCATCCACCATCAAGGGACCCCACTCCTGGGAATGGTTTGATGAATAATTTGTATAGTATATTTTACATTTCATATATATATACATATATGAAATATATCTACATCTATAATGTATGCATAAAGTAATTAATCATAAATAAGTCTGTTTAAATGCTTCCTTTTTCTGCAAGTAACTTTGTAGTAGCTTGTCATTACACACGCATTACTAATCATAATTAGGATTGACTTACTCATAGCAATGTGTAATGAAGAAATCCATGGAAACAAAGAGGTGTTTCCTTGTGGTTTTGGGGCTCCCGTGACCACGCCATCCCCACCGACCCACGCCCGTGGGTTGGGAGCCGCCCGTGCCCACGGCAGCTCGGAGCTGGGAGCACGGACACTCATCCAGGGCCCACTCAGCGAGGAAGACGTTATCAGATCCTCCCTAATTTGGCTGCTCTTGTGTTGACTTTGCCAAATAAAGCAAACATTTGGACTCGCGGGAGCCCTTCCTGCCCGCTCTGCTCGCCGCTGCCGACGCCGCGCCGACGGCGGATGCGGCCCTGGTGAGGAGCTCCAGAGGGACCCCGAGCACTGAGGGGGTTCTGCCCGTCCTTGGGGCTGTGCTCTGCTCCCACCCACCATGGAGACCCTCCTGGTCTTCCTCGCCCTCCTGGGGGTCACCAGCACCGAGCAGCTTTTCGTGGGGTGAGTCCTGCTGGGGCAGGGGGTGGGATGGGGATCCGGCTGGGAGAGGCCCGTCCCCACCACCGTCCTTCAGGGTCAGCCAGAAGGGTGACAGCCCAAAGGATGGAAAGGTGGAAATCCAACAGGGTTTTCTGCCACCTGGGAAAGATTTGGTTTCACCCCGGGTTTGGAGGGAGGTTTGGAGCATGCAGAAATTAGGGAATGCTGAAGCCTGAGGGCATCGCTCCAAGCTTCGCCAGGCTGTGGAATCCCAGAGGATGTGGGGAGCATGTGTATGGCTCAAACACATCCAAGGATTGTTGGGAATAAAACCCAAGGACTGCTGGGAATAACGGCCAAGGATTTCTGGGAATAACAGCCAAGGATTTCTGGGAATAACATGCTGTGGGAAAGAACAAGATGTGCCTGGAGAAGGAGCCCTGTGGAGGGAGGCCAGCACTTTTCCAGGATGAACATCCTGGTTGCAGCTCCTGGAGATAAGAGCAGCACCAGTGCAGGAATGAGGCTGAGAAGGGGGCATGGAATGTAGGGGGGGTCAGGACAACCCAAAACTCCTAAAGTTTCCAACCCATTTCCAGAAAGGTCGGAATGAATGGACTGGCCATGAGAATTAATTTGCAGAGAAAGTGGGAATTCTGTGTTCAGAGTAGGGAAAACCTATCCATTAAAAAGTACTGCCAGGATGCTGGACATCCCACCAGCTGGACTGACACTGGAGCCAGAGCTGGTGATCTCATGAGCCACGGATGGAGCTGTGCCAGGGGGGTTTAGGTTGGATATCAGGAAAGGTTCCTGATCCAGAACAAGGATCGCTGCACTGCCCAGGCTCCCCAGGGAATGGTCACATTCCCAAGGCTGCCAGAGCTCCAGGAGTGTTTGGACAACACCCTCAAGGACAGGGTGGGATTGTTGGGGTGTCTGAGCAGAGCCTGGAGTTGGATTTGATCCTTGTGGGCGCCTTCCAGCTCAGGATATTCTGTGATGTGACCGACTCACCTTCCTCCCTGCTTTCCTTCCTCCTCGGACACGATGCCGTGGTTGAGGGATCCATCCAGACTCCCATCACTCTCCTTTTGGGAAAAATCAGGATTTAATGCCTGCCTGAGTCACCCAGGCACAGAGTGGAAGTTGTTATCACTTTGGGGAGCTGGTTAAACTGATAAATGGGAATTAAAAGGAGGAAAGGTAAGAAAGGGGAAAGATGAAGGAATTTTGTGCCATTCTGGGAGTGGCTTTAAGCACTGCCCAACAGGAGAGGTTGGAGGTAGAGGATTGATCTGAGATGAGAAAACCTCTCTCCCACAGAACATTTCCTCCTTTCCAGGGGCTGTGCCTGTCCTTGGGAAGCCCAGCCAGGCTGGATTGGGGCCTTTGTTAGGGAATACATCCATAGGTAGAGAACACTTCCATGGAGATACTGCCCAGCATCTTGGGAGCTGATCAAACAAGGCTGGAGATCACCTCAGGCTCCCAGCACTTGCTCTTTCCCCATCATGGCTGCTCTGAACTCGCATTGTTTTCTCTCAACATCAACAGCTGATGCATTTTCCAACCCTCTGAGCCGGGGTGGAGCTTCCCCAGCCTCCCCCAGGCCAGAGTCCCTCCTGTGTGACCCCTCTGCCTCCCTGCAGGGACCAGGTCCTGCGTGTCACAGCCAGGAACGAGGAGCACATCACTCTGCTCAGGGTGCTGGGCGAGCAGGAGGAGCTGCAGGTGAGCTCTGAGGGGTCCTGAGCACCCCCCGGTCACAGACCCTGGGGAATCCAGGGCTCCCTCCTGCTTTTGCCACCCAATCCAATTTTCCTCTCTGTTTTTGAGATGTATAATTTAGAACCATATAAATATGGATTTAACCTGGGGCTCTTTGAGCTCAGAGCTCCTGTTTCCTACGAACATCCCACAAATACTCTAACAACTTGGGCTGAAACGTTTCTGTAAATCCTTCTGCAGACATCCATCTGTGGCCCAAAATTTGTCCAAAAACCTTTTTAGATCCTCCATGGAAATTCCTGTGAGACCCCTGGAGGTGTTGGGGAGCTCAGTAGATGAGCACCAGTGAAGGATGGGGCTGAATTCTCCCTTTCAACTCAAATTCTTATTCCCAGGTGGACTTTTGGCGTCACCCCAACAGCCCCAGCCACCCCGTGGACCTGCGGGCGCCCTTCCCCAGCCTCCAAAGAGTCAAAAAATTCCTGGATTCCCATAATTTTTCATACAGCATCATGATTGAGGATGTGCAGGTAATGGCTATGATGGGATCATGATGATCTCCTGCAGCTCAGCCCTGAGAGAAAGTCCAAAAAGTTGGAAATCAAAAAGAAAAATCCAACCCCCGGCTCCTTCCAGCCTTTTTGATCTTGGGGTTTTTTCTGCCTCCTAACCAGGAATTATTGGATGAAGAAAAGGAAAGCATGAGGAGGTCTAGGAGGGTAAAGAGAAGCTCCAGGAGTTTTGATTTTGCTTCCTACCACACTATAGACGAGGTACCTTTCTCTGCAGAGCATTGGCTTTGTCCTGCTGGGGTCACATCCATGTGCTGAAGGTTGTGGTGAGTTCTTGGTGACAGTGAGACCTCCCTGGGACAGGTTTCTCCTCCTTGGTGGAGCTTTTAGCTGAGATGGAGACTGGGAAACCTTCCACATCCAGCGTGGCCACTCCTGGAATCTCTCACCCTGTGGAAGACATTTTCGGCTTCACTTTGGGGGTGCTTGGAGCCCAGTTTGGGACTGGTGGGGGCTGTGGTGGTGTTGGGGAGTCTCAGAGATTTTTCCTCATGGTTCATTCTGCTTTTCCAAAAACCTTGTGATGTGCCTTTCCCTGCACACACAGAGCCTCAGCCACCTTGTGTTCTCCAGAGAAGCACGAGGTCTTCTCCAGGGCAGTCCCAGGTCTCCAGGGAAGCACCAGATCTCCCCGGGGAAGCTCTGCTCGTTGCATCCGGTGCTGGATGCCCTCAAAGCCAAAAGGTGAGACCCAGGCTGAGCCTCATGACCCAGCAGCTCCTCCTTGCAGATCTACGACTGGATGGACGTCCTGGTGGAGGATCATCCCAGCCTCGTCAGCAAGGTCCAGATCGGGCAGAGCTACGAGGAGCGGCCCCTGTACGTGCTGAAGGTGGGTCCTGGGGCAGCCTCGCCCCGAAATCCCCCTCAGGATTTGTGCCAAGGGAGGCTCAGGGTGGACAGCAGCAGGAATTTCCCCATGGAAAGGGTGGTCAGGCCTCGGAAGGGAGGTTTGGAGTTCCCATCCCTGGAGGTGTCTGAGGAACTCCTGGAGGTGGCACTCGGGGCTCGGGGCTGGGGACAAGGTGGGGATTTGGCAGAGGGTGGATTCCGTGATCCTGGCGGGTTTTTTCCAACCTCGATGATCCCGTGATTCCGCACAGTTCAGCACCGGGGGGTCGAACCGTCCGGCCATCTGGCTGGACACCGGCATCCACTCGCGGGAATGGATCACCCAAGCCACCGGTGTCTGGATGGCCAACAAGGTGACCTTGGGATCACCTGGGATGGGGGACCCCAATTCTTACCCTGCATCCCTCCGCCCCTCATCTCCGAGGTGCACCAGGGCAGCTCCTGCTCCTCTCCACGCACAGATCGCTGAGGAATATGGGCAGGACCTCTCTGTCACGGCCATCCTGGACAGCATGGACATCTTTCTGGAGATTGTCACCAACCCTGACGGCTTTGCCTTCACCCACAGCTCTGTGAGTGTGGGGATGTCCCAGTGCTGTCCCCAGCCATGGCTGTCTGTGGTTTTTGGGTGGGGAGGGAGGTTCCTCCCCATGTGGGACGGCGAGTGGAGATCCCTGGAGATGCTTGGCAGGGGTTGGGGCTCACATCCCCATTCCAGTCTCCTCTCCGTGCGCTCCTAGAACCGCCTGTGGCGCAAGACCAGGTCCATCAACGCTGGGTCCCGCTGCGTCGGAGTGGATCCCAACCGAAATTGGGATGCTGGGTTTGGAGGTGAGACCTCGGCCACCAGGTCCTCATGCCAGGCACTGTTTGTGCCTCAAAAACATCAAAACTAGAGAGGAGAAACCCAGGGATGGAAACCCTTCCTGAGGGATCCTCTCTGGCTTTCCTCCTCTTGCTCCAGGTGCTGGCTCCAGCAGCAATCCCTGCTCTGAGATCTATCATGGCCCTCACGCCCACTCCGAGAGGGAAGTGAGAGCCATCGTGGACTTCATCCGCGCCCACGGGAACGTGAAATCCGTCATCTCCATCCACAGCTACTCCCAGATGCTGCTCTTCCCCTACGGATACAGGAGGGCGCCCACACCCGACCACCAGGAAATGGTGAGATGGCGCCAGAACGTGGGGCTGTGATCACCTGGCAAAGGCAGGCACAGCATCTCAGGAGCTTCCCTGCTCCTCTTGTTAGATGCGACCCAAATATTGAACCCCTGAACCTGGGTCCTGGAGGAGGGTGGTTGAGAGACACACCTCAAAAATTAAGAGTTTTTGGGGAAACCTGCAGCAGGATTGGGGAATGATGGGCTCTAGATCCCCCTGACCCTCGATCCACCAGATCCCACCACTTTTGGTGGTTCCTTTGCAGAATGAACTGGCCAAGAAGGCCGTGAGTGACTTGGCTGCCGTGTTCGGGACAAAATACACCTACGGCAGCATCGCCAACACCATCTGTGAGTATTCCTCCCTCATCCTGCAGCAAATCCCTTGGGAATGGGCTCCCACCTGGGCTCCTCTCCCTGCAGACATGGCAGGAGGCACCACCATCGACTGGGCCTATGACAACGGGGTGAAATATTCCTTCAGCTTGGAGCTGAGGGACTCGGGGCGCTACGGATTCCTCCTGCCCAGCTCCCAGATCGTCCCCACTGCCACCGAGACGTGGCCGGCGCTCCTGGACATCATGGTCCACGTCCTGGAGCATCCATACTGACCCCAGCCTCTCCCACAGCATTCCCTCCTCTCAATAAATCCTCATGGAGATTCAGTGGTTTCAGACACCCTGGGTTTTTTTTCATGCTAAACTCCAAAAAAAAATGGTGGAAAAGGACTCCCAGCCCTGCGGGTGTTGATTTTCCCCTCGTGACTTTGGCTCGAAGTCCCCATCCTTTGGAGCCACTAGCCTCCAAGGGAGGAGATGGGGTTTTTTGGGCAAGCAACCCCAAATTTGTGGGGTTTTGAGCAGCTTTGCTTCATCATTCCTTCCCAGGGGGCTACAAGGAGGGACGTGGGGTACCCTCAGGGTATTTGCCGTTTATTTTTGGTTACTGGGACAACTGTCACCTGCTCTGACCTCTGTCCTGGGCCAAGCCTTACACCACTTTCCTCAGCCAAATTTTAAACCAGTTTCCCCACCACTGTGCCTTAGGGATCCAGCTCACCGAGCCCCAAGTGAAAATCTGCATTTTGTGCATTCTCGACCCAAATTGATTCTTTCCCTCCCCTCAGCCGGCACTGGAGGCTGTGGGATTTTGGCACCTCCCGGTCTCACCTTGCTGGCAGCTGACTCACCACGGCCCCAGCAGGTTCATGGGACAGGTTTGGCCAGGACTGGGAGCTCCTGGATGGGGACAGCAGGGCCTGACCTTGGCTGGTGGCAGCCAGAGCCTTCCCAGGGCCCTGGGAAAAGGGGCAGCTGGAGGGGCCGGGCTGGGGCCGCCATCCCATGGGATTTAAGAGGCCCCAGGGCGCTGTTGGGATGCAAAACCAGCTCTCCCTGCTGACCATGAGGCTCCCCGTGCTCTTGGCTGCCCTGGTGGCAGTGGCCACCTGCACCAAGACCTTCGTTGGGTAAGGGGGCTGGGATGGGAATGGTGGCACCTGGCGGGGCAGAAGGAGTTGGTTCAGCCCTGAGGGGGCACATGGAAAAGGCTCAGGGGAAATCCCCGGAATGGGGGGGATGGATGGGTGGGGTTTAGGTCGGACTAACGGGGCCAGAGTTTATCCCACACCCCACCAGCACCCCCTGACCCCACAGGCACCAGGTGCTGCGCGTCATCCCCCAGAGCGATGAGGAGCTGCAGAAGGTGCAGGAGCTGCAGGACCTGGAGCATCTGCAGGTACTGGGTGTGGAGGTGGATTTTGGGGACACCCCCCACACAAAGCAAGGGTGGGGTTGGATGTGGGATTGTGGGAACCGAGCGGTGAAAAGCCCCAAGGCAGGATCTCACCCTTATCTCCATTTTCCCCCATCCAGCTGGATTTCTGGCTGGCTCCCCGCAAGCTCGGGCTTCCCGTGGACATCCGCGTGCCCTTCCCCAGCCTGCAGGCGGTCAAAGCCCACCTGGAGGCCACTGGGGTCTCCTATTCCATCATGATTGAGGATGTGCAGGTCAGCGGTGCTGCAGGGGAGGCGGGGGAGAGGTGGGATCCCATCAGTGGGAACAGGGCTCATCCCACCCTTGTCCCACAGGCCCTGGTGGATGAGGAGCAGGTGGAGATGCTCCGCAGCAGCCGCCAGCTGCCGCTCGACACCAGCACCTTCAACTATGATGCCTACCACACCATAGATGAGGTGGGAATGCGCAAGACTTGGGGCATTTTGGGGGGGAAAATGTTTGCTCTTGGGCAGGGGGTGAGCTGGGAGTGACCCCCACATCTCTTGTTCCCAGATCTATAATTTCATGGACATGCTGGTGGCCGAGAACCCCAACCTGGTGAGCAAGCTGGAGATCGGCCGCTCGACCGAGAACCGTCCCCTCTACGTGCTCAAGGTGAGGATTTGGGGATTGTGATCCAGAGGGGAAAGTGGTGACAGGGACAAAGCCAACCCCCCCTCTCTGCTCTCTCAGTTCAGCACGGGGGGCACAAACCGCCCGGCCGTCTGGATCGACACCGGGATCCACTCCCGCGAGTGGGTGACACAGGCCAGCGGCGTCTGGTTTGCCAGGAAGGTACTGACACATCCCAAAAGGGCCACCCGGGCCTCAGAAGCTGTGGGATCCACGTGGGTGATCCCACAGGGAGAACAGGGGAGCCCCAAACCTCCATCCTCTCTAGATTGTCCAGGATCACGCGAATAACGAAGGTGTGGCCTCCATCCTGGAGACGATGGACATCTTCCTGGAGATTGTCACCAACCCAGATGGCTTTGCCTACACGCACACCACGGTACCGGCCTGGATTTCCTCTCCCTGGTTCCTACAGCTGCTCTGGATGGGGCTGGGGAGCAGGATTTGGGGCGTTGCACATCCCTGAGAGGGCAAGGCCTCCTCACCCACGTTTCCATGGGATGGGAAGGGGACCACCACGAGCTGTGGAGCTCCGGCCCCGGGCACCAGCTGAGGTGGCTCTGCCCTTCCAGGACCGCATGTGGCGCAAGACCAGGTCCAGGCACTCGGGTGCCATCTGCGTCGGAGTGGACCCCAACCGCAACTGGGACGCAGGTTTTGGAGGTCAGAGCTGTCCCCTTTCATCTGTGGAGCATTTCCACTCTCCAGCTGGAGGCTCCAAAGCTGCTTCTGGCTCAAAGATCCATTGCTGTCCCCTGGGGAAGAGGTGGGGTTTGCTCTCCGTGGCAGAGCCGAGGGTTTGGGCTCCACCAGGACTTTGATGTCCCCCGGCGACAAATGAAAGTCACCATACAAATCTCTAGGAGGAGCCCCAGGAGCATTCCTTAATCACTACCAAGGAGCTGAGGGGTAGGAATAACTCGTTATTCCCAAATTCCCACTGTGTTCTCACCATCCTTTCCTCGGCAGATGCCGGAGCCAGCGGATACTCCTGCTCGGAGACGTACCACGGACCCTACCCCAACTCGGAGCCCGAGGTGAAATCCATCGTGGACTTTGTGAAGAGCCATGGCAACATCAAGGCTTTCGTCTCCATCCACAGCTATTCCCAGCTCCTGCTCTACCCCTATGGCTACACCGAGACCCCGGCACCAAACGCGCAGGAACTGGTGAGACCCGTGGGCTTTGAGGGGCTGGATGGGCTTGAGCTCTCCTGCTGCTCCAAGGAGGAGCCACCTCTGTCCTGTATCCATTGGGAAACTGGGAGGAGCTTTGCTGCACCCAGAAAAAAGCTGTATCCCACAGGTTTTTGCTTTCTTTGGCTCATCTTTCCCCCATCCCTGTGTTCCCAGCACAAGATTTCTGCTAAGGCCGTGGCCTGGAAAAGGAATTGATTGAAAGGGCATGGAAATAGCAGGAACAAAAGGGAAGGAAGGTGGTGGTTTTCCCTTTCATCTGGCAGAGGATGGAAAGGGAACTGAGCTGTGGGACATGAAGTCAGCAGGATTTATTTGGGCTCCAGGAGAGCTGCAGAGGGGCTGGGGACAAGGATGGAGGGACAGGACCCAGGGAATGGCTCCCACTGCCAGAGGGCAGCAATGGGATATTGGGAAGGAATTCCTGGCTGGGCTGGAATTCCCAGGGAAGCTGCATCCCACAAGTTTTTGCTTTCTTTGGCTCATCTTTCCCCCATTCCTGTATTCCTAGCACGAGATTTCCGCCAAGGCCGTGGCAGCTCTGTCCTCCCTGTACGGCACCCAGTACGATTACGGCAGCATCATCACCACCATCTGTAAGTGCTGGGGCAGCCCCAAAATCCCCAAATCCCACAGCCATCCCTCACACCGGCCAAACATCCCACGGGATTCCTGCACAAAGCCATCGAGGCTCTGAACCACCCCCCCCCCCCATTTTTTCCTCCCTCAGACAGAGCGAGTGGATCGACCGTCGACTGGACCTACAACCAGGGGATTAAATATTCCTTCACCTTCGAGCTGCGGGACACGGGGCGCTACGGATTCCTGCTGCCCGCCAGACAGATCGTCCCCACCGCCGAGGAGACCTGGCTGGCTCTGAAGGTCATCATGGAGCACGCCCGAGACAACCTCTACTGAGCTGGGATCAGGGCTGGAGCAGCTGGAGAGAGGGAAGAAGGCAATCAGTAAATAAATGGGAAGAAGGATGAGAAAAGCTTGTGGTTGTTTTCCCCTTTTTCTCCAAACTGGGTGGAAAAGCCCTTTCGGAGCTGGAGGTGGTGCCAGCACAAACAGGGTGTGCTGGGCCAGTGGCCTGGAAAAGGAATTGGTTGAAAGGGCATGAAAATAGCAGGAATGAAAAGGAAGGAAGGTGGTGGTTTTCCCTTTCATCTGGCAGAGGATGGAAAGGGAACTGGGCTGTGGGACACCAAGTCAGGATTTATTTGGGCTCCAGGAAAGCTGGAGAGAGACTGGGGACAAGGCAGGGACAGGACACCGGGAATGGCTCCCACTGCCAGAGGGCAGCCATGGGATACTGAGAAGGAATTCCTGGCTGGGCTGGAATTCCCAGGGGAGCTGTGGATCCCTGGAAGTTTTCCAGGCCAGGCTGGACAGGGCTTGGAGTAACCTGGGATAGTGGAAGGTGTCAGGAGTTGGAACTGGACAGGCTTTAAAGTCTCTTTGCCAGCCAAACCTTTCCTGTGTGATCCTTCCTTACCTGCTGCAATCCCTAGGGAATGAGGAGCTGAGCCCTTGCTCACTCCCAGCTTTTCCAGGCTCTCCACAGCTCTCAAAGCTGCAAATAAATGACCCAAACAGATGCTGTAATTTACATTTTATTAAATTAAACAATTAAACCTCTCGGCCCCTATGGAGTTTAACTCTGTTCCAAACAACACCAAGAGTCCAAATCCACACAAATGCATTGAGATGATGGGAAAGCACATCCAGTCCTTGCTTTGATTCCTTGGATTTGGAGGATCTCAAACAACTCAAGCCAGTTTTGTCCAAGTTTCACCAGGAGGTTTTCACGCAGCACAGAGCAGCCAGGGATTCTGGATCTGTCTCCCACAGCTGGATAGCAAAACCAGGATTTTAGCCAGTGCAATGACAACACTTCCAAGAGCTCATAGAGCTGGAAAAATCTACTCCCACAGCAGCAGGACCTAATCAGACTGAACCTGCCAGTCCTGAGATCAGCATTGTCTGATTCCACACTCAGAGTCACAATAAAAGATAAATGTGATCAGGGATGTTGAGTCCTAAGCTGCCCAACAGGAAATTATGTGCCATTTCTCCTAGTTTTTGTCCTTTCACTGGAATTATCCCAAAGTCACCAGTGAGTTTTGGGATGTGTTGAAGATTGTCTGCTTCAAAAAGGGGAAAAAACACTGAATCCAAAAATACACACAAACCCCACAAGACCACAATAGCTAAAACCAGGACCAGGCTCAGCAATGCCAGATGGAAAAACTGGAGAGCAGAATCCCTCCAAAATCACCTCCAAAGTGTCCCATAAGCAGCTCAGGAAAATCGGAGGATTCCCAGGTTATCCAGAAGCACCAATTTGAGGAAAACTGTGCTACTCATTTTCCAGGAAACCTTTACCCCGTTCAGTTCCAGATTCCAGAGCCCTGCTCTGTTTTAGGGACCCTGGTGAGGCCGCAGCAGCAAATTTCCTTCAGCCACCCTAAACCTTAAAAAAACTACTGGAAAAGGAGTCATTGGAAAAAAAAAATCCAGTTATTCTCCTCCAGCTCACCTTGGAAAAGACACAACTATTCACAAAGTGTCCACAAGCAAGCACGACTGTCACAGCACCAGCTGGGCAATAAAAACCATTTTTATTACAAATACTTCTGTTCATTATCATAATTTATTTAAAAAAAACAACAAACAGGCCTTCCAGGACCTTCTCTCACTTTTGGCAAGTTGCTGAATGTCTTTATCTCTGCTAAAACCACCAAAGTTTGTGCTCACAGATGATTTGTGGCCTGTTCACTTTTATTCCATTCCATGGCTCCAGCGTGGCCCAGGAATGTTAGGGACACAAATTCCTTCAGCTGGAAGTTTCTACTGGTCCCAGCCTTTCCTAGCAGTTTTCTCCCTCCCCTACAAAACCAGTTCTATCACCTCTGTCCTGCCCTGCTCCCCAAGTGATGCCATTCCTGCTTCTAGGAAACATCATTCCAGCTGCCCAGCCTTACCCGAGCTGCCAATCCTCACCACGGCCGCTTTTCCCTGCCGATTCCTAAAACCACAAACGGGCTGCACTGCTCAGCATTCCCAAAACCTGGATGCTCATTTATTTCCAGGGCCTGTTCTGGATGCTGGTCCTGCTGTGGGAGCGGCTGCTCAGGGATCCCGTGGTGTGAGCAGGGCTGGGGAGGCTGGGGTTGTTCCTCACGGATGAGAGCTTGGAATCGTGGCCTGAAACACCCCGGGAAAGGCGGCCTGTGGGAAAAACAACCCCAAGTCACAAACTGCTTGTCCACAAGTTGTGGCTGTCCCATCCCTGGATGTGTCCAGCCAGGTTGGATGGGCTTGGAACAACCTGGAAAAGGGGAAGGTGTCCCTGCCCATGGTGGGATGGGTGGCTTTAAGGTCCCTTCCCACCCAGCCATTCCATGATGAGGTTGAAGCATATTCTGGTGATGCCTTGGAATTTTAGCTTTTATATTTTTCAAATCTTATACTGCATTAGTGTCACAGCACATGTGACAGTTGAGACAGCCACAACACACAGAGTGTCACCTTGCAATTTCAGAAGGCTTCAACC